CTTTAGCAGAATCCTAAACTCTCTCCCATGTCGCTGCCGACGACTCGCCCGTGCTATGTAGCATCGATGGCATTTAAAACGAGCTGGGCAACAGGTGACAGCAATGTTAGACATTTTGTTCTGATATTAAACAAGAAAAAGGATGTGCAAGCTCACCTCGGTGCTCGTCTCCTGTGCAACTCCTTTTGCTCTCGGCCGTACGCCCTTTGCCATGCCTCGCTCGCCAATCTGGGTCGCCGCCGTGGCCACTGGCCTCTGCTTCAGTCCTCTCGTTGCATTCTGTTGACAGAGAAAGCTCAGCACGCCGTTCGTGAGCTCGAAGCTTTGACTCCAAGGCCCCTTCCCCCTCTGCCGCCGCAAGATGGGCATGTCTTGTCCACCATCCCTCCTGCTGCTCAGTGTGATCGACAGCCTATCGGCGCTCTCTGTCACCACACCTAGCAGATTATGGACGCAAGTCAAGCACACAACATGCTTGCACTGCTTGCTCATCGGAACTCTAGCACTGATCAGGTAGCCCATCAGCACGCCGCGGTTGCTCTTGCGCCATGCAAGCGACACGAGGCCAGCAGGCTCTTTGCTCTTGACCCAGATGCGGTGAGCGCAAGTGAGACACTTGACAGCAACCCACTCCTGGCAGCTCACAAAGTCAACCCTGATTTCACCTAAGGTGATCCCCCTGAGGCTACCTTGCTCAACAGTGTGACCAAGCCCACTGCTGAAATGCTGAAGACTAGCTTGAGACTCCATGGTTATCACCCCTTCCTTGGCCTACTACTCTGAGGGGGCCGGATCTTCCTAAGCCCCGTGCGCCTCCATCCTGCCTCCTGCTACCCGGTCCGGGAATACCGGGCCCTCGAACTTGCCTATTTGGCCCGATGCCCTCTCCCTAAGTACCTAAAGCCCGACCTCGGCCGGTGGTCCCGGTCGCTTAGCCCTAAGTTCCGATGGTTCGACGCCCGAGGTTTCGAAATGTCTCGAGAACCTTTGCAGGGGTGGTGACGTGGCAGTCCTCTCCGGTACTCAGTGCAAGAAAATTTAGCGTCACTGCCAAATCCGGCACGACCATTGTCGAACGTGCGCCGTCCGATCCGCCCGGGTGGATCCTGGCCGTTTATTTAACTCCGAACTTCATTTGGTAGGCCCTTGAATTCGTGTACCATGGGATTCAAATCCCTCTGACTGATGATGCGCCTCTTCGACGGGCCGGATTCCTCGGGAGAATCTTGTGACGTTCCTGGGCGCCCGTCGAACTCTTTGCATGACAAAATGCCAGCAAAGTTGTCGACAAAGATAGCTCACGGTGACGTATCGTCTCGGAAAGTATATTCCGTCGAACACATGCGTGGATCCGACTTTTGATCGCATTTGTTCGGATTAGGGTTGGTTGAGCGCCTGATACCTATTAGGTATAGGGTTTCTTTAGCCATAGGTTCAACTGTAATATGTTTCCTAGGAAGTCGGGCCCCGGCCGCCGTGCTTCTACCGCTTGACACTTTGCTACACGACCCTCCCTGTCGGCTACATCATAACGTACGGGAGTGTATGTAATGGACCCAATGGTGCATTGATTATCAAACCAAGGTCTTAATTTTTAAAACACGACATTTTCCAATGCAATAAGCCCTTTCGGCCATCCGATCAAGACAGGGCAACGCATCGACGGATATTATGAGCTCAAAGCTAGTAAAATCCGATATTTATTGCAAGCGAGAGCATAATCACATGGCGGCCGCGCATGCTAGTAGCGCACGCGATTCGCGGTCGATGCAGGGCGGTAGGAAGTAACTGTGGCTAAACTAGGGGGATCTTATTCCTGAGAAGCTATAATGGCTGACGGTCGAATGTAATATAAGCCGATATCGAGGATAACACCATAACAAATAACCTAACCATTCCATATCTGCCTGCTCCGCACGGGTACCCACCCTAAACCTCCAAGCTAACCCCACCCGTCCTGACTCCTGACTCCTGAGTCCTGACTCGTCGCCCAATTATTATCCCTAGTGAAGAGTAAGCATTTTGGGGTTACTAAAAACCCTAACCTAAGGAAACACCCGCTCCGCACCCGTAGCCACCCTAACCCCCTAACTAACCCTACCCGTCTCCGTAACTGTTCACTGGCTGTTACTGTTCACTACGTCGATCGGAATCAATTATTCCTGCCGCTTACCTAGGTATTCTCATTGATTTCAACCCTCATCAATGATAATTTTGGTATTATGCGCAGGCGACAGGCCCGGGCCCCGTACTGGTACGTACTACGTAGGTACTACCGGTACGTATACCTTGCTCCTTTCGTCGGATTTGACGAGAACCAGAGTCATCTCAACCCAACGCTTACCGCAACGAATTGCACCCCAAACCCCGAAGATAACCCTACTAGGAATCGTCCCTGGGTATGGCCGGTAGTAACCGTGCGCTCTCCGTACGCGGATCATCAGGACCAGATGTACTGAGACACATGACAATTATGCATGGTCATGGACTCTGCGCGCGGAGTCTGGACCGCCGTCAGGACTCCGAAGGAGCCTCAGCTCTGAGAGAATCTTTGACATGAAAAGTCTCATGACAGTACTCAAGGTGGTGAAGGATTGCGGTGGCTGCGGGTGTCGCTTCTTCCGTATACCTACCTACCGGCAGCCTCCAAAACTGAACCGAGACTGTATCAGTGTACGATATGGCGGCAGTTCACCATGACCACCCCTGAGGGCCGGCCCCTGCTGTCTTTAAATATCATTGTCAACTCTTTGTTCTCAAGAGCGATAGCTAGGATAGTACTAGGTAGTGTAAGAAATGCACTGCCAAACGCAACGTTGTGTTTTTGTACCTGTGAGTTTACCACCGGGGAGGAGCTGAGTCTGGCAGAGCCACAGGTTCGGTGTTCACCGTGATTGAGAAGCATCTTCAGGTCTGTGACATTTGGTAGCCGCCTCTTCTGACGGGGACCTGCTGTCACATCATCGCGTGCTTTTGTTGAAGTCAATGCTGGAACAACGTCCTGTGACCTAATGCAGCTTCTGTGCTCCTGGCGCTATCTTGTGAACAAGGGTTGTGGTCACGTCAACTTTAGTTGTTTCCAAGGTCGGAAGTCCTGAACGGCTACGTACGTAGCCAAGGACACTTCTGAGGACGTTTGTCACACACATATTGGAGGTGTAAGGTAGATACCGTCAGGGTGTGAAGGACGACTAACACTTGTAGCAGGGGTCTGCTCGTTCGATATGCTTCTCCTACCTGCTCAGGTAGGGTGGGAGTACTGGCAGCTAGTTTGAAAGTTGCATATGCTTTTTTGATCTGCTTCTTTAAGCTGACTGCAACTGGTGATGAAGCACATTGCGAAGTCTTCGTCTGCAGTCTGCCTCGTTGTCAGTCTCTTCTTCATGGTCAGCTTTCGCCTTTGCTCTCAAAAAGTGGTGTTACATAGCCAAAACTCAATCCCTATTTAAGTTCAGACGATGCAGTTTTGAGAGAGGCGTAAAAGGATGAGCTAGAATCAGCACATTTGCAGCTTGTAGTCACCGCCACCCCCACTTCACATCTGCCAACATGCATCTGTTGTATGCTCTTTAGAAGCCAGTGCGCCATTTGACAAGCCAATCTGCTTTAAAGCTTCTACTAGAGTTGTGAATGGGTCGACAAGATGACAAGATCCGATGTCACCTCTCAGTAAGTGACTAGAAGTACTGAAGCGCATTGCACTGGGGTGTAGCTAACAGAAGAAGTGTCCTGCATGCATGCGGACCAGTGGTTGTGTTTCCCATACTTTTCTGCAATTCTACTTTCTCCATTCTGCTTGTTTGGCTGCCTCTCAATGCAAGTTTTTGTGGAACCAGTTGCTCTGCGCCCTAACCCAAACGACTTAGGTGTCCCCACCTGCTTGTCTAAGCCTCTTTCCGAAATTGGTTTGCAAAAGGCAAGGGCCTTGGACGGGGCCAGCTTGCTATCTCGGAAGTTGAACCTGCCCCAAAAGATATCTCTTCCTTTTGCAATTGTCTTCTACGATCTGCTGAATCTTCTCGTTTAGAACTGCCAAATTGAATGGTGAACCGTTTTCTTGTTTTAAAAGGCTGCACCAGCGCCACTTCTGAGGGGCAGGGCAGATTGGGGAGACAACTGCATGAACCAAAACTCTGGTCCCCTTAGTCCATTCACTGCTGAAAACACTACCATTGACAAAAAGCAAGGGGTGTGTAATGATGCCCTCTGTGGATTGCAGGGAGGTTCAGGAAGACCCGGTGGAGGTGTCAACCGATCAGCAGTATGGTCAGGCGAGGGGCGGAGATTGTCCATTCATGGTCCTAGCAAGCGGTTGAAGAAGGATGCAGGTGTATCACAGACTTTGACAGGTCTAGGGGTAAGCGCAAGGTCTCCCTTTTTGCTTCTTATTGACAAATGTCTGCAGGTCGATTCTTTCAGATGAGTATCTTGGAATCGGTGGACTTTGTGTTGGTCATTTGTATGTCAGCCCTGCTGCTCTTAAAACACATTTTAGCACACTTAGTACCAAACTCCCTGGCTCGCAATCTCTCCTTTTCCAGAAACTCATTATCATTTCAGAAATCTCTGCAGATGGAAAGAGCACAGTCCATGATGGAAAAGCATCCTGATAAGAACTCAAGGAGACAAAGCAGATTATCTAGAGTTGTTATCCACCAACTCCCTAGTAGTTAGAAGTTCTTGTGAAAGCGGCTTAGCAGGGCAGAAAAACAATCATCGAGAGACAGCCACTCCTCGGTAGGAATTGATTCTTGTCAGAAATCGGAGGGTCATGTGGTTGATTTGTTGGAACGATTTACCCGGAAGAGTACATCTCGTTCTTGAAACATTGAAATGATGCTTGAACTAAAATACAAATACTTCTGAAGAAAGCAGATCACAGAAGATGACCTCCAGTCCATACTCTTCTGTAGAGGGCTCAGAGCTTGTTTTGTTCATCCGCCTTTTGTCCAACAAGTCAAGAATCGGTTAGGCTGCTCCACAAAAGCCTGTAATCAGTGCGCTTTCATCCCTGCAGGTTCTTATCAGCGCATGCGTTCTGATATCCCTTTACGGCTTCGCCGGTCATCAGATCAGAGTCGCCTGTAACTCATACGACAGCGGTCGTAATGAGTCCGCGGGGGCACAGAGATCTGCAATTGCATCCGCGTGCGCCTTCAAGATTGTTGTAAGTTTCGGTCTGCTGTCTCGATTGAAAAGATGGTTTCGTTGGGAGATGGTATTTCTTTCTGCAAAGCAATCAGGGAAGCACTTTCTGAACGGATATATGGATAGGAGAGCTGCTGGAAAGAGATCTGCAACCCCTCTGCTGATCCGACTTCAATGGCCGTATCGTTTAGCTCCTTGCTCCTTTCACCACCATTCGGTAGCGGAAAGGAGCTATTCAATGATAGTAACCTTGGACCAATCTCATCAATGGAAAGGATATTCTTGTCCATTTTTTTTGCATCGAGGTTGCAACTACGCCAGGGCTGTACTTCTTTCATATATACACTGCTCGTGGTAGACTCTCTTCGAGGTTGTCTGCATGTGCTGATATACTCAACGTTTAGGTAGCGTTTGAAGAGTCAGGAGACTTTACAGAGTTTCGTTCAGAGGATTTGAGTAGGAAACCCTGAGTCATGCATGCCCTGTGCTTTACGTCGACGAAGAGAGTGGTCCCCCTCTTCGAAATCAACCACATCTGTTTGCTGAAGTCCTGTCCATGTGTTCCTCAATCGTTGAATGTTCCGGGGTCCCAGTCCCAAACGGTATGTAGATTGGACTTTCCAAGCAGTACTGCCGTGAAGAAATATGTTGAAGCTTCAGGCAACGTCCAACCGGCAACGAACTAGACTCAACCTAAGAAGCATCCGTTCCCAGTGCAGACGCAATGTGACAGTATCTTCACCATTACTAATAACATTTCGTCCCGCGTTCTGTTTGTTTCACTTTCTCATTCTTCTACTTTCTTCTATTTGTTTTACTTGTTTCTGATTGCACTGCTTTCTTTTTTTCATAGGCCACCCCTGCTTGGGCTCCAATGAGCAGCTTACTTCCAAGTTGGACAGACCCCCGCTCTCCTGTTACTCTAACAAACAACACCAGCCGTCAAAGCAGCCCGGAAACGAAAACTCCGCTCGCCTCCCGCGCTTCGTCAAAGCCAGCCCCCGCCTCTAGTTGGTCCCTTCTCCATCCGAAAACTTGGCTCCAAGGCCTGTCACCTTTCGAAGCCGTCTCCCTGCTGACGTCAGAAGCGCGCGTCATCCTGACCCCCGTGCGCAACGCGCGGTTCGTCGTGAGCCTCACGACGTCGCCGAAGCGCGTCGGTTTCCTGGAACCCGTCCTGACGTCACTCCTGCAGAACAGCCTCAAGCCTGACGTCATCATCGTGAACCTCCCGTTCGTCTTCCTGCGCGACGGCTCCATCTTCGGCGAGCTCCCCAAGTTCCTGACGTCAGCCCCGGGGGTTTTGGTAAACCGGTGCGAGGACGTCGGCCCCGCGACGAAGATCCTCGGCGCGCTCCCGCTCGCGCGCGGCCCCGACGACGTCATCATCGCCGTGGATGACGACATCTGGTACCCCCGGCACCACCTCAAGAAGCTCTACCTCAAGTCCGGAGAGGATCGTCACCGGAAAAAGCGCGCTTCCGGGTTTCATGCTGGAGGGTTTTTCCGGGGTGGTCTACCGGCGCCGCTTTTTCGGCGACCCGGCTGCGCTCGCGAGCTGGTTCAAGGCCGCCCCGACGAGCTGCTTCCTGGCCGACGACTTCGTGCTGTCTAACTACATGCTTAACCGGGGGTTAACCTTTGCCACGTGTAATACGAGGTACGAGGGCCGGTTGTTGCGGCGACTGGGGTTAGGGCCGGTGCCTTTAGAGCACGGGCTCAGGTCTGACGCGTTGCATCTAGGGGCGGATCAGAAGTCCAAGGGGAATCGAGAAAACTATGCCATATGCAGGAAGTTTCTCGAGAGCGAAGCCTTGCTGTTCCCCGGTTTTCCGGACACGAGCTCGGTCTATTTTGACAGGGCGGCGTTTCCGAGCCAGCGCGAAGCTGCAATTCAGGAGGCTCTCTTCAATCAGTCCGTTTGAGATTATTCCGCCGTTGATATTCCGCTGAAAAATAAGGCTGGCGAAACTCGTATTAGGCTTGAGAAGTTACACTCAAAAGGGATCATTGTTGCCTGCTCGACTCCAATGTACAGATAGCTCCCCTTTTCCAGCGACATTCTTGCGCATCTACTAGTTGCCGTTAATTGATTAAGAACCAGCGGGATGCCAATAGGCCGTAACTTATATCAGTAGGGCAGTCGAACTTGTGAATCAACAAGCCGGTCAGACTCGCAGCTCAAGCGCGCTAGAGAGAAAAGTTCAGCACTGAGTTATCATAGCTGCTAAAGAACAAACGGCTATCTTTAAACAGTCAGTCCGCGAGGGTGGTCGAATCAGGAGCAACTGTCTGTTTAGGGATTCAAGTAGTATAAACCTTTTGTTTGTTTACACTCTTAGCTACCGGAATTTGAATCGTGTTGGCCAACACGAGAAGAAACATGTAGAAACAGGTCATGACCGTGCGCCTCAAACCTTTGACGCGGTCAACCGGTGGGGTCCTGCACAAGCGTGTAAGACATGTAAGGATTATATTCATTGATTCGTAGAAGAGACTTTGTTGTAGAAGAGTCACGTTTCCGACGTGCATAGCCTGCTGTTAGTACTGCATTCGTCAGCATCATTGCATACACCATTTGGCCACGACCACGTCCAGTATAGCTAATCGTTCATCCAGAGCTAGTCATTCCTGTATACAGCTGCTGGATTGGCTTGATGTAATACTGTCTGACGCGGTACCTCATCGTCCCAGCTAGCATGTGTCAGACGACTTTAGAAACTAAGAGCCAGCATGCTGGTTACTCGATGGTGCAATGCCACTTGTTTGCGGACGTATGTATCAGCCGCTCGCGCCTCGCATTAGCAGAAGCGAACACGCTAATATCGTTTGACCGTCTTTAAATGACGTGTACACGAGTCGCTTCAGTCAAGCTCCCGCCCGGTCACACATCCGTGGTCGTAAAATATGCAGTCGATCGATTGGCACACTAAACTTGGAGACAAACCAATATTGTGTACCAGACCGGTCAGCAGGTTGTTTGCGGCGCAGGAGTATATTTCACTTGCTCGGCTCATAGTCCGTGAAACGCCGCCAGTTCTATGTGATATTGTCGAGGAGCAACAGGACTAGTCAATTGCTGTTGATTTGGAGGGTATTTTGGCAGCAACCCGCATGTTTCGAAGTCTGTTCAATTATACAGACTTTTGTGCAATTTTCTCAGTGACAAGTAATGCTACGCAGGCTTATAGATGCGGTGTTGGTGATAACGAGGCCACTTATTCCCGTTCCGCCAGATCCGGAAGCAGTGCCCACGATCGGCGAGTCGCCTCGGCCCTGCACGACAAATACCACAACATATTTTTCAGAGAACAAAATAGGATTCTGACGTGGCGGCGGTTCGAATGTGCTGGTGAATCGTGCTTCAAAGGAGCCTTCGGTTTAATTTCGTTGTGCCGTCAAATCATGGTTTCGCCCAGTCATAAAAGCTATCGAAGCCACGAAGCCCAGCAAGATCACATCTGCACAAAAGCGCTCGAGATCGAGAGGATATTAAATTGACAGTCTTAAGAGCGCCGCATCTCCACCTGTGAGCCAAGAAATTTCTGTACCGATCCAGTAACCCGAGTACACGCCGGCTCCCTACCTACGGACGATCCGGCAATCTCGGTCACCTGGAAAAATTAGGAATTCTCACTTCGCCAGCCAGCCCTTTCAGCAGAAATTGTTGAAGCGTCTGGTCTCAATCTGGTCATCCGGGCTGGAGAGGGCTTCCCACAAACCCACGAAGTTGACAAAGTTACACAGAACTCGAGATGCGTTGCCTCACCTGCAGGCTAACGAGATGTTGTCCCGGTCGAGCAACCCGAGCAGTCGCCGGCTCACGTTGTCCGCGATAACCGGCAGCTGCCTGAGGCCACGTGGCAGCATGGCGCGCTGCGCGGCCTCGAGCGTCGTCTCGGGGGTCACGGTCAGCAGCCCGTGCCGCCGTTTCCAGTTACTGCAAACCTCGGTCACTAACCGTGTGTCAACCTGAAAGACAGACGGCAGGACGTCGTCAGTGGACGGCTCTACTTTCCAGTTACTGCAAACCTCGGTCACACGTGACGACCTGAGGACAGACGAGGAGACGTCGTCAGCGGACGGCTCGTACTTTGGTAATGGAAGCTGCATTCATTCAGTGTAAACTTGGAAAGGTAGGAATCAAACAGTGTTGGCCTGTGGGTAGTCAGCTGAGCCGCCGAGATCCTTCAAATTGACGACCAGAAGTCCAAACAATTACCCCGTGCAAAATCACTAGCGCCTGCACTTGCGAGCAGCCCCCAGCACCCGTTGCCGTCATATTCATCTCCGCCTGCACTTCTGCCAAAGCCAAAATCCTGGAACCTTGACAATCCCGGAAGTCGGGGCTCCAAAACCTCAACCATTTTGAAAAATGACCAGCGCCTGCGCTTGAGCGCGCCCGCCCACAGCGGCGGCCGTCTCTTCCGCCTCCACTTGCACGTCTGCCAACGTCAGAATCCTGAAACCCTAACAACCCTAGGACTTGAACGTCAAAAACCCCACTCTTTCGAGGACTTACCAACGCCTGCGCTTGCGCGCGCCCCCCCGCGGCGGCCGCCGTCTTTTTCGCCTCCGCCTGGACGTCAGCCAACGTCAGGATCCCCTCGAGCACTCCCCCTTCCCCCACGACGAGCGCGCACCACTGGCGAGACGCCAGCATCGCCGCGACGGTCTCACGCACCGTCGCGGTGTTTGGGACCGTCATAAACGTTTGCGACATGGCAGTCGCGACCGTCATTTCGGACATGAGCTCCTCCTCGCTCATCACCTGCCACGTGGCGGATTTGACGTCAGCAGGAAAATTGTGACGTCAGCTTTCGTGAACTGTTGCGGTGTTTGGGACCGTCATGAACGTTTGCGACATCTCGGTTGCGACCGTCATCTCGAACATGAGTTCTTCCTCGCTCATCACCTGCCACGTGGCGACAAGCACGTCATCAAAAGGAAAAATGACGTCAGATTTCGTGCGCTGTTGCGGTGTTCGGAACCGTCATAAACGTTTGCGACATCGCGGTCGCAACCGTCATCTCGGACATTAGTTCCTCCTCGCTCATCACCCGCCACGTGGCAAAAAGCACGTCACTTGAAGGACAATCTGACGTCAGTCCGGCATACTGTGTTTGGAACCGTCATGAAGGTTTGCGACATCGTAACCGCGACTGTTGTCTCGGACATGAGCTTCCTCAAACTCATCACCTGCCACGTGGAATATAAGCGTTGTATTGACTGCACACTTCGACAATCGTGGGGAGAGACACGAAACCCTAGCCTCGAAGCTCAGCGCTATCGACAATCTCGGAAATAGTTTCCAAGATAACCTGCTACGAGCATTGGAGGGGGAAGTAAATTGTGACTTTGGCTCGACAGTGTTGGGAAAACTAGGGTATCTGCAACGTTGGAGCTTCACTTAGTAGCGCAACGTTCGGGTTGTTCGTGACGCATTGACGACTGGCAAAGCGGCGGTCATTTTGAAAGCTTAGGAGCTCCTCCTTGGGATGGTCACCGCAAACGCCTGAGCTCTAACGGAAATAAAACGATTTACAAGCCCCGAATCATCGATCCAAAAGCAGTCAAGTTCCCTGTATCGAACCCTTAGACAGCAATAATCTAAATCACACAGTTCTTTCTGGTGTCCTCTAATGCATCCGCTAAAAAGGGAAAGTCGAAGGTCTTCAAATCGACTTCTCCCTTTACGTGTGAGCCCCTGTAGCCTTGACTTCGGACATCTCAAGGGTCCTCGAGACCTACCTTGGACTTGCCACGCGGAGTCTCAGTAAACCACTCAAACGTTGGCCTCAACATAGAATGGACACCCGTTAACGTTTGTGAATTCCAACCATGGTCCTCACCTCGGGTCCCGCAACGCACAGCGACGTCTCGAGCGAACACAGCTCCCCCTCGTCGTCCTCAAACCCATCCATCGGTATACTCTTCTCCTCCCGCAAAAACACCGGCGCACCGTTCGTATATAAAACCGGGCCCTTGCTGCTGGCTGCTAACCAATCCGACGCGTTTTCTACAAGGGTCATACTTTCTCCGAGCAAACTGGGTTTGCTTAACCGGATTTCGGTCGGGGCGTAGTTTAGCAAACCGGGTTCGACTGTCTGTACAGCGGCTGTTGCTTCTAAGCCTACGCTAGCGGTTTGCAGGTTAGGCAGAGGGTTAAGAGTCGGGTTTGCGAGGACACCGGCCGTAACGGCAGCCCCGTTTGAGCCCACAGCATTACTCAACCCGTTCTGTAACCTCTGAACCGCCTGCTCGCGCCGTTCCGCCTCCGCCTGCCGTTTCCGCCGCCTTTTCTCTTCCTCCGCACTTTTGCTCGCGAGCGAAGACACCCACGAACTCAACCCGACGGCGCCCATCAGCGGCAATATGATCTGGTAATCTTGTGTCAACTCGAACAAGAGTAGGACTGCAGTCAGCGGCACTTGACACACGCCCGCGAGCATCGCGGCCATTCCCACCAGCGCGTACGCCTGCGGCTCGGCCAGTGAGAATTCCCCGAAGCTGAACCGCGGGTCGGCCGCCGCGAAAAAAGCGCCCGCGAGCTTCGCGTACGCGCTCCCGAGCGCGGCGCCCATGAAAAGCGATGGTGCGTAGACGCCGCCCACAAGGCCAGAGCCGCGGCAGAGGGCCGTGGCGACCAGCTTCACTCCGACTAGCTGAAGGAGGAGGCCTGCGAAAGGAAGCAAGTGGGATCAGTTCGGTCCCATGTCACCTGAGGGATTATTACAGCTGTCTCGCAAGTGGATTGAATCGTACTTTTCAAATGAACTGGGAGAGAGAGCGGGGGGTGCGATTAATGCGTCTTTCTTGTCGCTTCGCTCCGTTACAAGAGAAGACCTCTTAAGTCAACGGGTCACGTTCCATCCGGAACTGGCCTTCTCGTACGGACTACGTTTGGCACGTCTTCGGCGCGTTCAGGCTCGTTTCCGGTTCTTTCTAAATCTTGCTAATCGTTGGTGCTTAGGGAAGACGGAAGCTCATGAAGTTGGTCGCAGCTATCGTTTCAGGGGACTTCCCGATACCCTCACCGGCTAGCGTGCGCAGACCAAAGTTGATCGACGAGCAACCTTGACAATGGTAACAACAAGGCGAGCGCTCGCTGAACTCAACTTTTCTGTATCTTGTTCGAGCATCTTCGACTTCCTCTACCGCTTCCTCCATCGAGACGCTTGCTTCGCAGTGGACAGTTTGCAAGACGCACGAGACAGGTTCACAACAGCGAACCGCGACACGAGAGCCACCAAACAAAAGAATCTACGATGTGATACTGAACTTCGCCTACAGATCGCCGGGGACCAAGGTTGCCGGAAGCGCGGAACGAAGTACCGAGCTGAGCTACCGGGTAGCCGGATAGCTTTTGGACGAAGTATAGTGGTCGGTCTGCTTTCAATAAAGTCTACCGGGAGGTCAATCAAACTAATTGTACCGATTGGTAAAATTACGGTAGGTAACTGATGGCTGAACAAAACGACGAATTCTCTTTCATCCACCGTGCCCTGAGTTGTAAAGTCCGGCGACAGAGGGATACCCATATTGGCGTGGAAGGGTCGCTCAATTGATTGTTGAGACCTCCCGGTAAGACATTTTCGACGGCCTTGCTAAACGCTCATAGATTCAGTTCGATAAAGTGCTGTACGTGCTAATCCGTCAAAAGATTCTGCCGCACTTGCCCGCGCTCCCGTCACCAAATTCACCGGTTTCGACGGTAAACGGCCTTTTATGTAGAAACAGGGCAATATTCTAGGTATGGCGTGTGCTGAGAAGTTCAGTAATCAGAAGAAGACACCGACACCATCCTCAAACAACCAAGAAGTTGAAGGACACGGAAAGCATTATTCAAGAGCATAAGATTACCACACCACCCACCTGTCGTTGGCGCGAGCGGGTTCCCCAACGGTTGTCTCGACTGCAGCACAACGTCCAGGTTCTCGAACCCCCAGTAGAGAACCTCCGGGTACGCGAGCGCTATGAGACCGACGCAGAGGGCCCCGACCGGGGGGAGAAACGCCGGGGGGATATTGTACTTTTTGCTAACTAGATCGAAACCTTGGGTGGCGAGCGCGGAGCTGCGGGTGTAGGCGACGGAGACGGCGCCGCAGAGGAGGCCCAGGAGAAGGTACAGCGGGAGCTCTGCAGGGGCGGAAAAATTTCAGTACTTTTTCCTTTTCCAAAGTTGACATTTTTGCCATAGTTGGTGTTTCTAGTACATCAATGTCGGTCAATATATGAGAAAGCAGAAGTAGCGACGAAGTTATTTGTTTCAACCGCAAGCGGATTAATTGGTCTGCAACTCGTATGGCAACCAGTCATGCGAGTTGGCAATGAGATCAGAGTCGAGTAATGTTTTCGGCTCAAAAAGAATTTCAAATCCCATGATTAGAATCGCCTTGGGCTGAGTCGGGGAGGTGAATTGAGGTGAGGGAACGGGTCAGAGGACCCTTCGTACACGACCGTTTCAAAGAGGGGCCCGCAAAGGGGGAGCTTTGGGGGAAAGGTAAACAATAACAGACAGCTGAGGGACTTCGTTAAAATCTGCGGGCTGGTGGAAGACGGAATGTTGAGCAAAAAGCGGAAGTACGAGGATCCGTGACGAGGGCATTTGCAACCGGTCCGTGAACGGGAGTGTCTCCATTTACTTGCTGGTTTCGTAGTTTACTGAAACCAGGCAGTTCGAAGCAGATTGAGCACTTTCCAAAGATACTTCTTCACAGGGGAGCTCTAGCCGACTGCTCTCACCAGCAGTTGCACGTGTCACCCTTAGACACAGTCATACGCTGAAAATGGGCAGACTCGAAAAGACAAGAACTGCACGTCAAAAATAGTACACACATACGAGACGAAAGAGGACTTACCCGCAGCTGATCGAAGTTCAAAGGGCGGCACGATAAAAGTCGGGTCCTGTCCGAGGCCCGCTTGGGAAACGACAGAAGCGAGAACGGAACTGAGGAGCACCATAGCGGTGGTTAGGCTGGGGGAGGGGTCCGGGGACGTAGTCACTGGGCGGAGAACGGATTCGACGGCGAAGAAAGTGCCCGCTACTGCAGCGTTGAAACCTGGAAGGAGAAAACAAAGAACAAACGAATTATGGCTAGCAAGCTCGCAAGCACGAAACGGATTGGCTTTGGAAATTTAGGGTGGGTATGGGTGCGGAAGAGGTGAATTCATGGGTTTGGGTTCTGTGTTATGTTGCAAGATTTCTATCTCTACAGCTTACTATATCACACTTTTATGTCATACAGAACTCCAGAGAATTTAAATGAGCAAGTTTTCCTGAGGAAAGGCAGTGACAACAACATGCAAAGACCATGCTAAGGTTGAAAGTCGTGAGGGACAAGAGTCTGACAGAGCCGAAAAAAAGCCTTCCTGTTCTGAGGTCACCCGCATGGATCTTCCAGAAAGGAACTGCACCCTGAAACGGGGTTTGGAAACTGAAACGGGGTTTGGAAAGACGTAAGGATTGTTGATGACTTGATACTTGAGTCTGGCATTGACATGGCATCACGGAGACTGAAGTTCGATCAGATGGGATGCTTTCTCAAACAATCTCTCTCGCTTCCTGAACGCCTCCTTCCAGCCGTAATCATCCGCTCAAAGTCGCGTTTGAGCTCAGCTGATAGTAGCGGCCGCCGCTACCATGACTAGAAAGCAACCTTGTCAATTAGGAGACAGGCTATGCCTTTATAAAACCATTTTTATCACGATGAAACTACCTACGTCGCCGAAGTCCCAGCCAGGGCGTCTGCTAAGCTCAGGGGATGCTTGGAAGCGCACACCAGTCAGACTCATTCTATGAGGATACGGTCTGGTTTTGTCACCCGACCACTTACGGGATTCCGACGCTGGAAGAGCTTCTCCAGAGCCAGCCCTGAAGAGGGTAAGGAAGCAGACAGCAGCAGTGTGTTGCACTGATTCTTTCCCAGTCTATTTCGCTCCTTAAACGCATTGAGCAACTGAATAATCAATCGCCAACCCCGAATCCTGAACCCCAAAAGGGAGAATAAAGATATCTCACCCGAGGAGATACCGGCCGCCGACCCCGCCGCCACAAGCGCCAGCTTCCTCTCCCTGCTGTTCTTCAGCACCGTCCCCAACCCGTTCGCCACGCTCGCCCCGATCTCCACGCTCGGTCCCTCAGGCCCCAACGAATTCCCCGTCCCTAGAGTCACTACCGCCGCCACCGCTTTCAGCGCCGGGGTGGCGACCCCCCCGAGGCGCTGCCATATTTCGGAACCCCCTACCCCGCCACCCGCGCTGACGTCAGCGAGGACCGTGCGGAGGTGGTTGAGCAGGCCGACGACGATGCCCCCCCCGACGGGGACGAAGACGAGGCGCTGCCACGTGGTTTCGAGGGGCTGCTGGCGGAGCCATGCGGCGCCGATCTCGGGGGTGCCTTCCCACATGAGGTCGTGGAGGCCGTGGACCTGGGGGGGGGGGGGGGGATTTTTGAACACGTCGTATGTGCATTGATTGACTGTTTGGAGGCTCTTAAGAAACTAGGAGGGTGTCCACCAGCGAGGTGCAAAACAGGGACATAGGGCAAGTGTGAAAGGTGATTGTTTAGCGATCCTGCTGAAGTCGTGATATTCAATGGCAGACATGCCAATCGGACGGTCCAGATGTGACAGGATGCGCTGAGGCCTTTCCTGCAAATCAGATAGGGTCCCACGAGGCCTCAGCTTTTCCAGGAAACTGAACATCGAAAGGATAAGAAGATGGAGAAAGCCAAGTGGTGGTAGCAACGGCTTCCAACGGCAAATGATCAGGGTCGTTGAGTGATGATAGCAAGGAGTCTACATTGTTTGTCCCCTCAGATCTAAGATACTAGATGATGTGTCAAGGAGATACACACCTTGAACTGCCAGGAAGAATCTGGCAAGACCTCCCAGCTTCATGCAGACAGCTCCATTGCTGACTCAGACTCGAATGCAGCTTCCTAAGACTGCCTCCAAGAACCAGATTCATCAAGCTCCTCATTTGCAGGATGACTGCAAGGCTTGTCCCTTTTGGAGGCATCCTAGCGACGCCATTGTAACTTGAATCCCTTCTTGAGAAGGTCTGTGTTTAGATCAGCACAGTAACTGCACTACACCTTGAACTCTGTCTTTTGTTGATATCAACACTCTGACCACAACACATTCTGAGCTCACTTCCTTGCTGGGAGTGGGATTGTGACTGTACCACAAGAAACGCACTCCTCTGGTGAGATCAACATCATGACTGCACCAAATATGAGCTCACCCCTTTGTTGAACCCAACGACGATCACACCGGTGGCCAGCCCCACAACGCAGGACAGCAGCAGGGTTGCTCCCTCCGGAGGCAGCGCTTCCGACACCGCCATCGCCCCTTTCCATTGGGGGGGCTCCTCTGGCACGTTCAACTTCCCCCCATCTGAGAAACCTTTCTCTGCAGCTGGCGGAAGCGCGCTTGCAGGACGGAGACGGCCCTGCCATCGGCGATCAAGACTTGTGGCGCTGATGGCATTGCAGGAGGGAGCTCGGTTTCCCAAAGGTTGCTTGGAGCATTCAATGTGATGACTGCAGGGGAGAGAAGAGAAAACTGCAGGATATTCTCGAGCTGATCCTGATGCTTTATTTGTGATGTCTGATCGTCGTGACCTCGGTCTTCCCGCTGAAGGCCATGGCTGCCACGATCCGTCCGCTTTCCGGAAGCCATGGCAGGATAGGAGGCTACTGCTCAAGCTGCCAAACAAGGGGACAGAACACACTGAAGACGCCATGATCTCAGCAGGCTGCTTGTGTCTTTCCGTCCAGCCCAGAATGGCGAGATCCTGAGGCTCTTAGCATGTATCACATGGTGATGATGACGTGGACAAGCAACTGCCTGAGCACAAGCTGGAGAGGTGTGCGCACCATTCAAACATGCTCAATGGATTCCCTTTCACCCTGATCTGTCAAATTCAGGAGTCACTTGGATATATCAATTGAATATATCCAATATGAACTGCCCGGCTGTAGGGAGTGCACAGGGGCACAGGGGAACAGTGCTTTACGCCATTACCGTTCTCGTGCAACACTTCTGGCAACTTGAGCCGTGCGTTACGTCTGACGCTGCTGAAGAAAAGCTGCTGCCATACTGGAAGTAGTAGTTGTAGCCCGAGGGGGAGGGGATACGAGCGATATCCAGCTCCCGAGGCGAGATATCCCCCGAGGGCGTTCCACTACTACATCTTGTGTGCACACACTGCTGACAGCTCGAGAGAAGATCGTCACGAGTTCGCAACTTCTTGGGCGCCCCCACAGATTCTCAGCTCTCATCCCTGTTAAAAGTGTTCAAAGAAGCAAGCTCGCAGACCTTCAGCATTGTTCTATCTAGTTGCTAGATTCAATTACGAGCAGTACTGCACCGTCTTCCTGTGGTATTGTCCTCATGGTTGGACACAACCAATTGAATTGAATTGAGTTGGTCAGCTGCCCAGGGTGGCTGCTTATCGATCAGTGCCAGGGATCAGTGTCGGCGGTTCTGGTGATACTGTGATACAGCATAGTGGCACAGCATCTTAAAAAGTTGTGTCTTACCCGTTTGGTTGTTGCAAGCTGATACCTTATTGCAGATAATTGAGAGACTAGGAAAACGCATTTTGTTGTCTGAATCCGTCAATTTGAATTGGGTGGTGCCCGCTGAGGGACGTCGTACAAGCAGCTTGTCAGCTCTTTGGAGCGAGCAGTATGATTGAAGTCATCCTAAACGACCGGTTGGGGAAGAAGGTGCGGGTCAAGTGCAACGAGGATGACACGGTAAGTTTATTTAGCCTTTGCTTTGAATGTAATGGAACTTGACTTGGGTCAGCAGTGTCTGTTTATAGTGCTTTGTTAAGGCTGTCCAGGTATTTGTGAGCTGATTGATGCTCCTAAGGACTTGAAATAAGTGCTACTACTTCCCGCCTGCTCTAGTTGATCTTACAACTAGACCCAATTGGGCAAAACGTCTATATTCACAAGTTTACTCCGTCGCGGCAGACTCTTGCAGTTTATTCTCCGGCCCCAGGTGTGATTTCTGTTTGCTTTGCTTTTTTTGCAGATAGGGGACTTGAAGAAGCTGGTGGCCGCTCAAACGGGCACAAGGCCAGAAAAGATCCGGATACAGAAGTGGTACACCATCTACAAAGACCACATAACACTGGGTGACTATGAGATTCACGATGGGATGGGCCTGGAATTGTACTACAACTAAACTCTGATTGCGTAAGAACCCAGATACATTCTTGGCTGTTTCAGTTAGACATCTGGCTGCCACACTACAAAAGAGGAGCTCCTTCAACTGTAAGCGGTTTGTGGGGCCAAGGATGTCAAAGTCGATCTGGGAGCGCCTCAAAAACAGATGTTTTGGTGACCAGAAAGAGCTCTTGGGAGGAACTCCAATGGACATGAAGAAGTCTAGTCAAGCTACAGAATTGCTCGACATCCTCATGTAGCTAATAGTGAAAGAGGAGCTTTAGCTAGTTCCGCCACTGCTGGCGTATCGAAGGCTAGTAATGGCCCACGTTTTAGAAATTCACCTCACCTTACTGTCCGTGTGGGCCATCCGAGTGATGCTCTCTCAGAAAAAGATTGTACACCAGCCAGCTGGGTCCCTTTGCATCCCCTGCAATTGAGTTTGTAATTGCCTCCTGAACTTTCGATACATCCATATTGAAAACTTGTCATTTCTTCACGAGTTTCTAAGCACGTGTCTATTCAGTCCACAGCTACTTGCAGTCCGCAACATGGTGCTTTTGAATGATGCCTAGCTGCGTTAAGTTGATCGGAACAAAGCATGATGAGTCAAACCGGATTGATTCAGTGGATATATGCATGGATAGTCAAATCTGCATGTCGCATTAACAATCGAGCAAGTATGATCGACGGGAGTGTGAGCAGTTGCCGCAGTTGTGGCCGATCCAAGCAGCGTGCCATCCATGACGGTCCAGTCATTCATGTCGAAAACTCGGCATTTGGCGGCTAGTGCAAGCCGCCCTCGCAGTCCGGCATGGGCATACGCTACAAGTGGTCATGCATCATCAACTGCGGGGATTGCTTGCTTAGATTCACCAATCAACAAGCATTAATTTCACCTGAAGGGGAGCTTCGATGACAGAACTTTGCGACCGGACTTCATATGCACTGTTCCAAAAACACTTGAGGGACTGAAGCTAACACTACAGCATGTCCTAAGGGAAAGGTCCCTGTTCCGTTCCTTTTCAGCTACTTAGTCCTGGATACTCAACAACACTAGTCCTCATTCAACAAGACTGTCCTCTATGGCACACGCAATACACATCGACTACAGGAACGGTACAAGTACACTCCTACTGAATTACGTCAACTAACCTGGCCCACCCTCATGCAAGATTACACTGTGCCCATATGGTACAGCGTACAGGACTAGGACAACAGCACACTCACTCTACTTAATTGTTGTCACTGGCAGTACCTGCTTCTACATGAACTCTCAAGTGCTGCATATGGTGTTAGACCCGATGCTTCGAAGCAAGCATTGAGCAAGCAATGCTGCCAGGTTAGTTACGCCTTGCGCTGTCTACGTCCTGCTTTGACTCCCTCACTTCGCTTTCTCAGCGACAGGGGCTTTCTGATCATGCTTGGGATGCTGTCTGCAACGCCCAGACGAGATTTGAAGTTAAAAGGAGACAGTTTCTCTATCATGGGACACTGCAATTGATGCAGGCTCGGGCCCCTTAACCTCGCACACAAGATGTTGCCATCAACGAAGTGTTCAATAGCTCCCACAAAGGCGGGAAGTATGGTGTATCGTCGATTCCCGCAAAGTTCGCACCTAACGAATTGCAGACTGGCCGTGCAACATCTTGGGTGCGAGTTTAAGGTACCCGAGAGGATTCATCGGGGACCCTCTGAACATCATAAGAAACTGCTCCAGCCAGGTCTACCGAGTGAAGTCAAATATTTTCAAGAGATAGGCTTTCTGCTCACTTTGCCACCTCGGCATCATCGTCATAATTCGGGTCCCTGGGGTCGATTGTGTCTACCCCGTCCAGCTCCTCACCGGCCTTTCCCCATCCGCCATACCCCTCTGCAAACAGGGCAAAAGGAAATTATTTGTCAGAAACTCTGCTGAGAAGTTACACATTTGATGGTGCCCAATGTCGGCGCACTTGTCATAGACCAGTAGAAGGCATGAAGAATAGGGAAGCTAGCGGCATAGAGCTGGTACACAACCTGGTGGGAACTTGACATGCTTCACTGGACCTTGTAGGCATTGCATAGCGAGCAAAATTCAGGAAGAAAGCTTCCAGAAGTTCAATAATGATGTCCTGATGACAAGCTCTTCTATTAACCTTATCCTTGATTGATGGGAAGGTTCTTCTCAGTTGCTCTCATCGCCGGTCAATGCAGTCAGAGGCAGTAAAGTATCAATTTTGAGTAAGAACGTTCTCTTTCTGAACCCCACATATTCCACAGGCGATGGAACCTCATCGTAGAGCACAACTTGACACTGGTACTCTTTCGTACAGAATTACCCCACCTTATACAGACTTTATGCAGCCTCCTCAAATGTACAGACAATGACTGACACAGTCAGTGTACAGAAGTACCCTACCTTTCTTGGGTGAGCCATAATAGGCAGAGCCTGTTGCAAAAAAGAAGCGGTCAATTTATGAACACTCAAAAGCACTGGAGAGATTGCAGACGCAATGTAGCGCTAAGAAAGGCTAACAACAGGTTTTGAACACAACCAACAGGTATAGATAAGACCGAAATTGTGACGTGATGCTTCTTGAAGTGCACACCATACATACTTGCTCACAGCTTGCGCCTCATTCCTACCATTGGTACACGTCTTAAAAGCATTTGACACTGCGAGGACAGGCGGCGAGCCCACTCACCCGAGTGCCTCTCGAGCCGGACCGCTCCCTTTTTCACCTGGAGGTGATGCTCATGCTTGGCAGCTCCGGTGTTTGCAGTCCCTGTCATGGCGGCTCAAAGGAGGGGAATGTACGACGCCTCGCTTGCTTGATTGACTTTCTTCACAAGGTTTTCCTGCGTTTTCCTGCATTGCAGATTCTGACCCGCGGGGCCGGGGCTGAAAACTCGAAAGCTTGGAAGACGGGTTCACTGTTTGGCTTGACACCGTTCTGGATATCTCATTCTTGTTAAATCCCAACAGATTTAAGTAGTGTCAAGTCTCACGTCCCGTGAAGTGATCATTGAAAGCTGACGTGGAGGATGTCCAGCAATGCTCATATTATTATGAGTCATTGTGTGTGAGGATTGGCACCAATTGGCAAATGCAGCATTGCAAGACTTCGCATTCTGGATGCTTCGCATTTCTCCATTAGGGTACCGTCATTTTGTAACTGGTACCCCCCCATATTTAAATCGACCATTTTCGGAAGTGGCCCCTTGCCAGGACCCCTGGGGGGCCTCGGCTGCGCGGAGAGGCCCCAAGCCCCCCCCGCCCC